GGAGCAGGCAGGGGATGGGGCCTGGCAGGGGTCCCCCCATGATCCCCTCCCCCCTCCTCCAGCCTTCACCCCCTGCCCCCTACTTAACAGGACAGAGACTGGGTCCAGTTCCCTGCAGCGTTGAGCGGGGACTGCCCAAATTTCTGAAGCTCTCCAAATCTGTTCCAAATTGATTCAGAGAGCTTCAAATTGATTCAGACTTATTTATTGGTCTCCCGATTTGATTTGGATTCAGAGATTTGTCTGCCATATCAGGCCGAATCTCCTCCAAATTGAACCAGCACCCGAAACTTTGCACAGCCCTAATAGTTATGCTAGCAGAATTTTGTAACACAGAGATTGCCTCAATTATTAGCAGTCGAAGCACTGTTACAACTGAAGTGGCACCTGCATCTCTTAGCAGTGTAATGCTCTAACCTTCAGGCCACAGGTTAGGCATTGCCTTGTCCCCTATTTAAGCCTCCTCTTGAAGCTGAGCCATTAATTGCACCTTGCATTTAGTTGATAACAGGGATGGAAAGCAGTGGGGAGTTTTCTGCTACAGTGCTTGTGCTGTGCCTGAGCAACTTCCTTCTCACCAAACCCCAAGCTTTTTAAGTTGCTCTCTTTCTCTGGACCCCATATAACTCCCTGTCTCGGCTGCCCAAGAAGCCTATTGCAAGAAGAAAGCTGGAGATATCTAACTTGTGTTCTGGTGGTTAGAGCACTGTGCTGGGAAGTGAGAAGTAGGTTTTGGATGAAGGGGTTGTAGAGCCTCAGTCTTCTACTTCCTGAGCGAACACTAGACTATTTCCTAACCACTAGGCTTCGGGGCTAAAACATGGGAGGCCTCTCCTCTGTTACAAGGTTCTTCTAGACAGAATTTCATGACTCAACTCACACATATGGAGCCACATGCCTGTCCAGCAAAAGTACAGCCCACTGCAAATGCTGCATAGGGAGTCAGATCACAAACTGCTCATGAGTGCCAAAAAATGGCAGTTGTATAGCTAGGTAATCACCATTTGGGTATGTAAAGTGAAATAGAATTTGCCAGGTGTGACATTTCCAGGTGTAGTTTTATGTTCCTAGTTAACAATAGGAAGCTGCTGTTTGCTCAGCTTAAAAACACATGGCTTTTTCACGTGCGTCTACTTTACATCCTGTGAGTTGGAGCATTATTGCTTTTTCTGGTATCTCTTTGCCACTGAATAGCTGTAATTTTGAATAATTTTTTACCATATGAATTTGCTTGATTTTTTTCCTTGGTCAGGTAGCTGAACTATAAAATTACTCATATCCATACAACTTATTCTTTTGCCGATACTAAAGTATTGGACTTAAAAATGTTGCATAAATATTTTCCTATCAGACATGTTATTAAAGGTATCGATAAAATCAACCATTACATCAACAGAGTAGGGATGGAAGTAGAAATGAAGATTCATCTGTGAAGTGATTTGATAAATCGGTACCATGATGTCAGCCTCTCTTTCAGTGGTTTTCAACCTTTTTAGACTCAAGTCACCCTTCCAAAACTTTTCAGAACTTAATGGTGCCCCATTTTAAAAACCTAATATAAATTATTATGAATATTATAACATATGCACATTGTAACTCTAGTATTGATTAATATACTAGTCTATCATTATAACTTAGGCCTGTCAAACTATTAAAAATTAATTGCAATTCATTGTGAGATTTAAAAAATAGTTGGTATTAATCACGATTTTAATCATTCAGTTAAACAATAACAGAATCCCAAGTTATTATAAATATTTTGGATGTTTCTTCTATATTTGCAAATAAAATGATTTCAATTACAACTCACTGCCACAAAAACACAGGAGAACGGTGCTAATTTCCGCGTAGTGATTAAGTGCAGTAAGTGAAAAGGGTCAAAACAAGGGTTAGTATATTTCCAATGCCAAAAAAGAGGACACCTGTTGAGGGCACACCTCACTCCCAACCCACAGCCCCCTGGCACTGCTGGTGTCCCGCACTCTTGATCTGCAGCCCCTGCTCCCTCCAGTTCCCCCCAGCAGCTTCTTCCGGGGCTGCCCAGCCCCTGAAAGCACAGGCACCAGTCTGTGTGCCATCCGCCTGGCCACAGAGCTCCCTGCCACTGTCAGAGGGCCTCCCCACCCCATTCACCTGCTGGCGGGGCAGGTGCCTCACCCTGCCACAGCCCCAGTGCCCAGATAGCTTCCCCCAGCACCAGCAGGCACTCTTCCCCCCCTCACACATGTACACCCTAGACAGGCCCTAAGACCTGGCTGTCCAACTCCTGCTCCCCACCTACACTTACCTGCATCCAGCTGCCGAGTCTGCTCCCAGGACCCTGCCTGGCTGCTTGCTGGCCACGTGTGTGCGTGCAGCCCAGCAGCAGTGAGTGGGGAAGGGCCCCCCACCACACATGGCCTGGCATCAGTATTAATTGGGCCTGTGTGATCACTTCTGAACTGGGACCATAATGGACAGAGTCTGGAGATGTCCAGTCAGCAGGGATGAGGTGCTGGGCTGAATGTGCAGCACTGAAGGAACAGGAGGGACAGGTGATGGATAAAATGATGTAAATGGCCCAGGAGGAAGAAGAGGGCAGATCAAGGGGGTACACCACTGGCACTGCCACAGCTAAGCAGAAGTGCACAGCACACCTCTTGCATGCCTCCAGTTCCACCTGCCCCTCACTCTTCTTTCCAGGAGACTCTAACTAGGGTTGACCTGGGAAGGGCTACAATTAGAGCAGATGCTTCTGCCCTAACCACTTCCTGATCTGGCTCTGCAGGAAGTGCATGGTGTAGTTCCACCGGACCATAGCTGCAGTGGCAGCAGGGAGCTGCAGCACCCCTAAAAGGGTCTTGCATCACCCTGCAGTGCTATGGCAACCCAGTTGAGAACCACTGGTCTCCTTCCTTCATTGGGGGTTTATAGGACAATTACTGAACTCTGATCTGTTTTAAGGATTCTAGTCCTATTTTTAAAATTGATAATATTAACCTCTAAATAAATACCTAGCTAAGATGCACTACCTATGAAAGTCAGAATTAAGTTAATTCAAGCCAGGGTCCATGGTCAGGGTAACTCTTGTTTTTAAGCTTTTATTGATCTAGTGAATAAATTTTACTTTGATAAACTTTCTTCTAAATTATATAGCTGGGTATATTGAAGTTGCCAAATTGCTAGGTTAATAAATTAAGCTGAGGTCTCTATCTAAATGTCAAATATATAGCTGTGATAAATAACATGCACATAGAAAAGGGTTGAAACTGGCTATCTGGGAAAGGATGATGAAGTTTAGCTACCTCGCTGATTTTCCCTCATTTTCCTGGCACAGATTTGGAGTATGAAGCAAGATACATGTGTACACGACCTTCAGGCCCACAGCAAAGAGATTTATACTATTAAATGGAGTCCTACAGGACCAGGCACCTGCAACCCAAACTCCAACATCATGTTAGCAAGGTAACTTGCTCCTCTGTCTATCCCTAGTACTTATAAAGGTAAATGAGTTGTTTAACAGGGGACTCTCTAGAGTTACCCAGCTGCCTTTCGTCCTACATACAGTTTTCCTACAATATCTGTAAATAAAACTGAAAATCATCTATGGAGCCTAGGGAAATGAGTAGCAAGAAAAGGAAAATTACATGATATGAATGGATTTGTTTAATTGCGGCCCTCTGGTAAAATCTATTGATCTGATAGTCCAGTAGCCAACTGGATGTGCTCTAATGAGAGACATGGACAAGCAAAATGACATGGATATTAATATTTTTATAGTTTGATCAATTGATGCAGAATAGCTTGGTTAGTTATTAAACTTTCACCTTCCATCCATTCAAGGTACAACTTCCTTCAAGTTTTAGAAGTGTGTTTTAGTAATTACAATTAATAGCTGAACTACTGGGTTAGTACTCAGCACAGTATGACTTCCTCTGCTTTATAGCATTATAGGGGAATTGCCTTATTGATTTTGTTCATTAGTTAGTTTTTGTGGGATTTGTGCCTTTGTTGTTCTTGATTTGTTTTTTATAAAATATGAAGGATTTCTCTTCCTGCTTTCTAATCCATAATGTTGTGTTTAGGAGGATCTTGGCAAAAAACTGAGTAGTTTCTAGGTAGTGGGTGTAAAAAAGGATGAGAAGAACCACTGCAATAGGGAATCTGAAACAAGGTTTGATTAAGTGAGGACCAGGAAGTGGAATTCTCTGGGGGCAGGTTATCCTAGTTTACAGTTAGTACTACTCTGTATTACAGAGTGGTGAGCTAGTCATTATGGACAGAGATAGTATTAGAGTTACTTTCTTTTACATTTGTTCAGTAAACCTCTATTAACGTTTAGAGATCTAGCACACATCTACCACAACGAATTTCTTGCAATGAGAAGGTCCAGACATTGATGGATAATCAGCTGTTCTGTCCTTTTCCTGTTTAAAATGTTTATTTAAATGGGAAATGTTCTCTTTAAATATTTCCAATATCATTGATTGATTAGCTGCTGATTAATTTGAATGTTCCTGCAGTGCTTCATTTGATTCTACTGTTCGGCTGTGGGATGTTGAACGAGGAGTCTGCATTCATACATTAACCAAACATCAAGAACCTGTCTACAGTGTAGCTTTTAGTCCTGATGGAAAATACCTGGCCAGTGGATCCTTTGACAAATGTGTGCATATATGGAATACACAGGTATCTGATTTATATGCAGAATAGAATAATGTTATAAATGCATTATTAATGGCCAAAATCATAACTGGAAAGTGTATATATCTGTATGTACTGAATGTGTTAGGCAAGGTGAATCTGAGGCCTCCTTTACATATTATAGCTATTGTGCAATTAACTGGTTATAATTATTATTGGTTAAAAATTAACCGGTTAATTGTGCAATTACCTGAGACTAGCTACACATTCAAAGAAGCTATCACACCATAAAAAGCTCCAACCAGCTGTAAAGTTAGACCTCAAAAATGCATACTAACTTTATAGCTGGTTACTATCAAGCTTTAATTTGCAGGCATGCTGCAGGGTCTTCCCTGTGGCTGGGAGCTCTGTCAGCTGACGGGGCTCCCGACCATAGAGGTGTGCCCTGCCCAGCCAGGGCTGAGAGTCCTGCAACTGAGGGGACTCTCAGCCCCAGCAGCTGTGGACTCTAGATCCCAGCATCATGCCTTCTGGTGCTAGGACCCAGCTGGGTCCCAGCAGCCCCAATCTGTGACCTCCTGGCCCCAGGGGTGCATAAAACCCACAAGGCTAGGAGTTTGCAGCTGGTGTGGTCTCCCAGCCTCAGGGTTGCCTAAAGCCCCTGAGTCTGAGGGATCATGTAGCTGTGATGTCCCAGCCCCAGGGTTTCACGCAGCCCCCGGCTGGAAGATTGCAGCAGTCTCCCAGTCATGGCAATACATGGTGTAGTCATTTGGCTGGGCACCCCTCAGCTGAAGGAGCTCCCAGTTGTGGGAACTTGCTCCCAGAGTTGCACAGGTGTGGAGCACAGTCTAGCACAGTGGCAAAGTGGCATGGTGTGCCAGAGTGGGGTGGGGAGGTTAGTGTCCCAGATATCCTTAAAAATAATATGGTTACCCTTTGTATACAGCTATCTGTCCCCCAGTGAATAAAAAAAAGGTTCTGTAAGTGAATCACCTATTTCTTTCTATAGTGGAAACCACAGAAATTCTCCTAGCTGTGAAATTGATATGGTTCAATCATGCAGTGCAGGTGTCAGATTTGAAAGAGGGCTATTGATAAGGGTATAAGTGTGAAGTCCAGCCCCACAGAGAAGAACTGAATGAAATGCTGGGCCCACTGAAATCAATGACAATAACTTCATTGATTTGAATAGTTCCAGGATTTCATCCTTGGTATTGATGCCTCACTGCAGACTTACTCGTATACTTAATAGGAGACCCACAATGTCAAGTGCACACTGCAGGTGTTGCCCATCTTAAAATGGAAAAAAGAAAAGAAATTAAGTGTCAAATATTTATCAATTGCTTGCTTTCCAGAGTGGAACTCTAGTACATAGCTACAGAGGCACTGGAGGCATCTTTGAAGTCTGTTGGAATGCTAGAGGAGATAAAGTGGGAGCAAGTGCATCAGACGGATCGGTAAACATTTTGAATCATTTATTGTAAATATTTTGGAGGAAATATGCCCTGTGAAGAGTGTCAACAATAAGTTCCTGCACTATTGCTATCTGTGGACAAAGATCAGAGATATGGAATATTTTTTAATAAATGTAAACAGATATATCTATAGATAATATAAACTTTTTCTGTTCTGAAAATCCTTCTATGTTTAAGGGGTATTCCCTATATTTAAAATGAGGAATTTCACTGAAATTGGTAGTATCTCTGAAAACAAAAACAAAAAAAACCCTTTCACGTAAAAATATTTTTAAAAATATCTTTATCGCATCCATTATCAACCTTATGCATCAACATGTTGTGGAGGTTGCAGAAATTTTAAAGTCTTTGCTGTCTTAAGACTTTCTCTTTTCATTGTTTTCATTCTTTAAGTTCCCTGTTACAGCAGAAATATACCCTAGGATGGAACCTAAAGAAGGAATTTTTCAACGTGCTACCCAGAGCTGTAGTCATGAGTAAAGAAGAGGTTATACCTTGGTGTTGGTGGTGGTGCTGATCATTATACAAAAATACCAATTAATCATGATTGCCACTGAAATACAGTACTGTACAATACTGGAAATATAGTACAATACGTACAATATCATTATAACAACACTGCTTATAGTGACCTCCCACTTTTGACAAGAAGAGCAGGAACCAATTTTTTAATTATTGTGGTACAGCCAGTTAACTAACCCTTTTATACCAAATACCTTCTTTAAAGGCCATGGCAAATGTTAAAATAATGTTGCAGTTGGGATCTTCAGCATTTTATGTGCCAGCCCAAACAGCACATGACCTGCCATACCAAAAGTATGGCAGGATGCAGTGTTTAGGATAGAGCATAACATTTCTAAGATCCTGATCTTGTGATAACTGAGGCTAAACCATGACCTGGAACTGTCTCTTACCCAAACCCAAATCTCAGCTGAGCATGATCCTTAACTGGAGCGGGCAGTGGGGTTGTATCCTGGCCCCTGGAGCTGCCCCATGCACCATTCCAATGCTCAGGTGACCACTGCAGTAGGGCACAGGGCAGGCCCACATCTGGCATATGTGCCATATGTTCAATTTAAGGCACAGCACAAAGGATACAAACCAGTTACAAAGATGTCCACATTAAAAGTAAAATTTGTGTGTGCCTGGTAAAAGTAAGTAAAAGTAAAAGAAAACTATCTGTGCACCTGGTTTGCCATTGTATTATGGCATAATTTGAACATTGAGCATGTAACATATTAAAATTCATAGCATGGTTAACACAATCACACCATAGATGTAATGTCTGCCAGGGCCCTTAAACTTTTCTCCTGTTTCCAAGTGGATTTGTTATAATGAGGTTGTACTGTAACTGACAGCTGGCTGCCACTGCCTTTAGTATACTCAGCAGCTTGAGAAGTCAATAAGCACTTTTCTCAGCAGTTGACTGAGTGATCACCATGTTTGCTGTGCCAGAAGAACAGAGAACCAAAAGTAGAGACTATTCCAGGGGTGGGGCAAGCTATGACTTTATATACTCACATGACACAAGCACTGGCGGTTGTCTTGATTTCTGGCACAATCACTCTTTCAGAAGACAGGCAACCCTGGATTTCTTTGATTCCAGTTGGTTTTTCAAATCTGTTGCAGTTTGCTAACATAGTACTATGCTTAGTTATTCTCAGGAGTACATTTAGGTTGTGTCATAAAACCATTATTAAATTATCTTACTGGCCTACAGAACATAGTATACTTTTCAGTGGCGGGGCAAACCTATGCTTTCCCATAAGCATATCAAAATGCTGTGATCACACAGCCAGATTCCCACATTTTCCTCCTTTGAATAGTCATGCATTTTCAGTTTTATTTTTGTTTATATTCACAGAAATCCTGTTTAAGGGGGGAAATACAATAGTAATTTTTGTTCTATTAATTGCTATTGCCTTGGTTGGTCCTTGGTCAGCATTGTCTGAAGTCAGTGGAGTTTTCTATCAACTGACAGGGCTTTGGATCAAGTCCTTCAGTAGGTTTTTCCATACTAGTCTTTGCTCAGAAGACAATAACTGTTTCTTTCTCCATGATCCTTAATATACAAATCCTGGAGATTATCATAGAGAAGATAAAAAAAGTAGAAAGGAAAGGGCCTGCTTCATCTTTTAATTCGCTACCTGGTAGAGGCAGAATATTTCCCCAGTCACTAATATCCTGGGATGCATTATCTCAGTTATTACTAAATTGCCTTATGACAAGATAAGCTTGTATAGAATATATAGTATATGTGTGTGTATAATAAACATATGCACACATATATATCTATAATGCAATATGAATACACATACACACACACACATATAAAGAACCCAGAAAAAACATTCAAGAAAAATGTTTTTGAATCTTGAGCCTTTTCTCTCTGTCTTTCTAGGTTTGCGTTCTAGATCTGCGGAAGTAAAAATGAAGTGTTTTAGAAGAAATTTCAAATGGACCAGCAGTGAATGTGTGGGGAGAAGCACTCTTCAAAACAATTCTTAACAGCTCCAGAACTGTATGAACTTGAAAAAAGTTAGAGTGTACAATGAAACAACTCTCCCTGGCCACAGATGTCTAGTATTTTGTCCGTAACCTTCATCAAGGAGTAAAAACACAGTCACTTCAGAGGGGGAGGGGATGGTTTCCACCTGAAACATTCAGCCTTGGAAGCATGAAGCCACCAGCTAGACATTGCACTGTTTTGTTTGCATCTGAGAACTTGCTCTGATGGCTGAGAAAAAAAGCTGTGCCAAAAAAAAAAAAAATACAAACAAAAAAAGCAAAATGCTGTGATAAACCAAAAAGGAAAAAAAAATCCTCCTCCATGTGGTGTTGTATTTTTTTTCCTTCCAATTTGGACACTACAGTTGCTCTCCCAAAGGACGTTCAAAGACCAGTTTGTACTGATGAAATGCGCAACTTTGTAATCACAACACTTTCTATTTTCTAGACTACTTTTTTGTTCAGTGGTTTTTCTATCAGCTGGAATATTACAGTCTGGAAGATCCCAGGCTTAGGTTGGAACTGATTTTTTTCCTTTTATTTTCCCTGCCACTTTTTCTTCTTCCTTCCTTTTTTTTCTTTCTTTTCTCTTCTTTTTCCCCCTCTTTTTTTCCTATGTGCCTGTAGTAAATGCAGCCAGGTGGACATGACAGTGAAAACTTCTGACAGACTGCTTCTCCTTTCTTTTCTCTCCCTCTCTCTTTCTCTTCCCCCCACCCCCACTTATTTAAAAAAAATCCTCCATGCTTCAGATCTTAGCGTCTCAAGGGCACTTTCAGCAAATTGTGTAATAAGTGCTTTATATAAGAATGCAGTGCCGGGGAAGCTTTTTACAGGAGAAAGATGACTTTTAAGAGAAAGAACCCAGTGTATTTTTGGAAAAAAATATTTTTTATGTTAAACACAATTTTAAAAGCCTAAAATGGCCACTGAAGATAAACTGGTTGTGTAATTCCTAGAAAAGAATGATGCAAATGGAATCCAAGATACATGAAAGATGCAGTATCCTTTACTCTTCTCCCCCAGCTGAATAACCACTGTAAGAAAATTATCATTCGATATAACAGATCAGTCATTTTTTTAAAGAAATATTTTCCTGCAGCCAGAAGTTTCAATAGTTTAATTTCATTTCTGTGGCTCTGTGTTGATGTTGATTTAAATTTATTAAATGAACTTAGAAGTTTGAGGTTATAATACAGTATTCATTTCTGTGGGTCCATATATACAAATACTCATGGTAATAACTAAAAGAGTAGTATGTTTTCTTTCCTATATGAATGGTCCTACATTCCTATAAGGCTTGACTTCTGCTTCCCTCCATCCCTTATTTTACTTGTCATCTTTTTGGGTTGATCCTCCTCTCATTGAGTCAATGGGACTTGTACCACTGATTTAATAGGACCAATAAGACCGGACATCTTAGGTAACATCCTAACATTATCCACTTAACGAGTGAAAGGCTCCAAGCAGAGAAGAAGGTTTCTAAATGCCAGCTGTCCACCCAGGGGTAGATATACTCCAGCATAGGCATGCTAGAAGAAAGTTAAAAGCCTGCTTACTAAAGATCCCCTTGTAAGATGTGGTGGGGGTACATGCTGGAGGCAGAAGAGGCATGTTATGGGAAGGGCCACATGGAGAGATTCCTGGCAGTACTGTGGACCATAGGGCAGCCCCAGTATGTTGCCATAATGTAGACCAGTGGTTTTCAACCTTTTTTTCATTTGTAGACCCCTAAAGAATGTCAAATGGAGGTGCAGACCCCTTTGAATTGTAAGTGGGGGTATTCGCACACTTTGATTGATCATAGTTATCTTTCATGGACTCCTTAGACATAGTCTACAGATCCCCAGGGGCCTGCGGACCACAGGTTGAAAACCACTGACAAAGACTGTACCTCAGATCCACCTGGATCAGGCCAGGAGCTTAACTAGGCCCTAGACTAGCCCAGGACTGGAAGGTTGCAAAGGTGCCTTCAAGCCAGGTCCATAACAGTGAAATGCTGAAGTGAAAATTGCCAAGTTTCTTAGTGTATGGAATTAGCATTTTGTTTCCTCTGATATTCTCTCTCTTCCAGATTATATATGTAAAGTATCTCAGCCTTTTCACTGCAATAAAGCATCAGTGACTCCAGGACTGTATATAAAAGTTATGAAACTGGAGAGTAGCTAATTAAGACAAGTGAACTACCAGGAGGATTATTTAGTCCTGCGGTGGAAACATTTATTTGAGATTTTGGTTCTTAATTACTATTGCTGTTTACACCAAAGAATGAAAGGTTGGATGTGGCAAGGGTCATTGTACTTATTGTTTTAATGTACTCATATTAGTCTATTTTTCCTTAGAGACCATGCCTTTAGTTGATCACATGACATTTTTAACTGTTTTATAATAGCCACTTACCTGACCTCTTTAAACTCACAATAAGAAAAAAAAAAGTATGTGTTCAAAGGGCAAACTGACCTTTATTACAGTTTCAGTGAGGTTTTATAAAGAACGTTGGATTGATTACTCAATAGAGCAATTGTGTGAGTGTGTAAACGTGTGGTTGGCATCTTAAGCTTCTTCCTGTGATGTGTGCGAGTTCTAGGCTATATCTGTGGGACTCGTGGGCAAATAGCACCTAGTTCTGAAGGTGCACAAGGCATTGACAAGTCCCTTTCTTTTAAGTCTGCACTTTGTTTGACTCTTGAACAGGCCAAATTTGAAGATGTGGCGAGATGAGAATGAGTGATTTGAGTTCAATTATTTTTGCTGCACAACTTTCTGGAGACACAGACAGTGCCTGTGTTTTATAGCTTATGGAGACAATTCCAGGAATATTAACTACAGACACTGCAAAGGTGTCAAAGCAGGGGGTTTCTTTTCCGAAGTTATCTGCTGTATACAGAGGGAGGTAAGGAGGTAAAACACAAGTTTCAAATTCGTCAGTATCCAAGCCTGTAAGCAAAAGGTGTTGTCATCCCAAAGAATTTTGTGTGCGTTTTCTGGTCTTTTGCAAATGGTGCACTGAAAGCTGGCAAAAGACAAATGCTAAAAGAATGAGAAAACGTTCAATGGTAGTTAGTGGATAATCTTCATATAAGTGTAAGCAGGACATACGAGATACAGCAGCATAAAAAAACAATTAAAGAATTTCATTACAGTTTTTACAGGGTTGTTTTATATAAATGTTTTTGTTATAACTCTTAGAAGGAAAAAAAACTGAAAGGGAAATGGCCAAGTGACCAACTTAATCAGGGGTCTGCAACCTAAGGCACAGGCTGGAGCCTGCCCTTATAGGTCTGATCTGGCCCAGGGTAGCCCAAAGGTTAGATGGCACAGAGCTGTGTTGTGCCCCCCATCCCTTCTGCAGCATTCCCCTCCCTGCTGCTCTCTCATGCCTGAGCTTACCCTCACTGCAGAGGGGCCAGGGATCAGCAACAAGGGTAAGTGCTGGCAGCTTGGGTGCTCTCAGAGGCAGAGATTTGTGGCCTGCAACAGGGGGCTGGGTCACAAGCTTCATCCTGTAGCAGTAGAAGGTTGCTGACACCCAAACTAAACCAGTAAATGTTACTGGCATGATACTTTTACTGGCTGCTTTGGAACTGTCCTTGAGGTGAAGCTTCAGTCTTTGAATACATACGCAAGTTCCATACGGTAGGAGGATACTGCATCTTCAATGTAGAAAACACTGGGTCCCTTATGGGGCATTAAAAGGCCTGACTTACAGGGTTAAACACGCACTAATCCCATGCTACGTCTTAGAAATTTCCTTTTGACTTGTTTTTTTTTTAAAGATAAAAACTAGCTAATTTTAGAGCCAAGTGAAGTGCACTTTGTCAAATGTAAGGGTCTGCTTTGTTTTTTTGGGGTTTCTTTTTTTTTTCTTCCTTTTTTGTTCTTTTTCCCTTCTTTTTTGCTCCTCTGTTCCTCTTTTGCCTTTTTTTTTTAAATTGTGGTTCTTTGTCAATTGCAGAAATGCTCTTTCAGCCACTCACTGAAATTCTGAATTCTGGCTTCTGCAGTTTTTATTGTCTGTGTCAGACTTGCAGCCAGACTTGGTTCTCTTTTAAGCATTTTCCAGATTCTGTTGAAACAACGTCAACCCCTATTTTGTTTTCTCCCTACCCACACACTCTCAAGATTCACCTTGTGTATTGTAGCTCATTTGTTTTAAGGAGAGAATCAACAGATCATATTCAGTGTCTTGAATAAATTGCTATATTTTGATATTAGAGAACTCTGTGCGTGTTGTTCCTTATTCTTTCCTAGTTATTATTTTTTATTGCTTTCATTCAAAGGTTGGAGGAGTGTATTCAATTCTATGATGTTTACTGTATCACTTTGTTTTTTCCAAAAGACCTCCTCTGTTGAAAAACGCCGTTCATTTGCATGCCAGCAGAGGGAAACGATCCAACCCAGAGGGTAAGGATTCAGCGTTAGCAAATTGCTCCAAAACACTTTAAAACCAAAACACAGCTCCACTTTTAGCTTATTTTTTAATCTATTTAACCACTTACTGATTTATTTACTTACCTAGATTGCACAGTTTTGAGTTAAATTTTGCAAGTTTCTCATGGACATGGATTTAAAATAGTTGGCTCCCTAAGAAATAACAAGGTATAACAGCCACAAACTCCTGGAAGGCCGATTTAGACTGGACACAAGAAAAAACTTCTTTACAGTCCAAGTATCTGGGGTCTGGAACAGACTGCCCCCAGAGGTGGTGCAAGCACCTACTTTGGACTCATTCGAAAGGTGTCTGGATGTTTATCCTGCTGAGATCATTTGACCCCAGCAGACTTCCTGCCTATGGCTGGACTCGAGGATTTTGTGAGGTCCCTTCAAGCCCCTAATGTCTATGAAATCTATGAAATCTAGTAAGCATGCTCTGGGAACATCTACCATATTGAGCTTTTGGGGAGAATTGGAAAGGAAAACCTAGTTTGTAGGTCCCAATAGGGCTTAAGCTGAGGCTAAGATGCTCACCCCTGAGGCACTTCTGGGCATGCCCAGAGACAGAACTTTTTAAGAGCCTGGAGAACTTTAATGTCAGGGTGTCAGGGACCAAATCCATAAAACACACCCAGGTGCCTAAGTGCAACCTACCGGGAATTTAAGCTTCTGAATCTAAGTAATTTGATCCATATAGGTAACTGAGAAGTCTGTTGGTGCCTATTGTGTTGTCAGCAAAGTTACTTAGGCACTTATTTGACTTTGTTTTTGCCTGTGCCAAATGTACTGTATAATAGCATAATAGTGATTGGTGATTTTGCTAAGGTAGTGAGTGAACTAGTTCAAGTGCCCTTCTCAGCCTGAAGAGGTTTAAACTCAGCGTTTCCTCCTGACAAGCAAATGCTGTAACTACAAGCCTTGAAGGCAAGACTGGAATGGAGGGAGGGATCTCTCCAGCCTTCCTCATGAAGCAGGGTGACCGTGCAGCCAAAAATGCAAGATTGATGGGGCCAGAAAGAAAGCAAGAGGGAAGCTGACCCTAACCTAACAGCTAAAGCATCTGGCCAGGAGGGCAAAGTCCTGGCTTCTGGCCCCTGCTGTCAGAGTTACTTCTAGTTTCTAGCAAAATGACTGTCTTCTAAAAGTCATTAATAGTCCTGGCGCCGGGTACTGGAACCCAGGTTTCCCTTCTCCCAGAAGAATGCCCTCTTCACTTCAACAGAAGGAAGCAGGAGCTCCCTGCCCAACTTACCCATCTCTTGGTGTTTAGGACACTCTTAGGAAGTGGAGTACATGGGTTTGAAATCCCTAATGGACAAATACTTTTAACACTAGATTATTAGGTCGAGAAGATGGGCACAAGCTTTGCCATGTTCAGGAGTGACTACAGGGTTATTGTGCTTTATACTGAAACCATTGCTACTGTCAGTTAGAAGTTGTGGTTCAATAGGGGTTCCAGTGTGAATGACATGGATCCCAGCATCATGGAAGTACCTTTCTTGTAATTCCAGGTCAGATGAAAGAGCAACAGTTCTGATATTTTCTCTTGGCTAGCTGTAGGTATTTTCCTGTTGAGTGACTAAGTGATATGGATCACCCTTGAGGTACTTAAGTCTCCCATTCAATGAGAAGAAGTCCACGGATTAGGATTTCCACTGCTCCATTCCAAAGCACAGACAATGTTCCTAAATTTTAAGTATTGTGATACATAAGTGAAGGCATATTAAAGGATTTAAGATCCTGCTTCTTAATCTCCTGGAAATTATTAGACTGCTAATGAAAATGAAATTATTAGACTGCTAATGAGCTTGAATGGTATCAGACAAGTCCCATCAACATTCAGTCATCTACAGAACAAATACTCCTGCAACAATTAGGAATAGCTACCATTCTCAATTCAAAAGAGAACCAGGAATGCAACATACGGAGAGATCATGGAGAGGTAAGCTTTGTTCTGAATCTATAGATGCATGGAAGAGTTTGCACTATACTTGGTTTTGTCGCGTATACTATATGATTTTACTCTTTTTGTGACAACCATTTTCAGATGACGTTCAAGAAATTTTATTACAGTTAACCTAAAAATGTAATTAATTTATGCTGTTCCATTTGTATCACATGCAAACATCAAGCAGTCATGAAATCAAGTACTCTATGTAGTGCTCATATAAAGCAACAGAATAGATGATTAATTTTTCTGTATCTGGTACAAAGATACAGTCCATCTCAGTGCACCAGTCTTTCCAGAATTGTCTCTATTTTTTTCCTACCTGTGTGTGTTTACCCACTTCTCATCATCCAGCCAAGGAAAGGACAAGGCTGCTTTAACCCAAATCCGTGGCTAAATCCCAAGCTTCTAGAAGCACTTCTAAAATCTTTGAAGTCCTGTAAGAGTCATAAGTGAGGAAATGAGTCATTTGGCAAGGAGTGTCATCCTTGCTGACTCTCTTCCCAACAGGAAGATCTTCACTCCCGTCAGGATGTTTCTCTTCGCTTCTTCAACATGCTCACAAAAGGCAAAAGAGAAAAAAAAAAATCACAGGAAAACAGCTCAAAATCTTGCTAGATCCTCATTTCCTGCTGCCAGACCTACAAACTTCCCCGAAGATAAGAATTCTCCATTTCAGACCATGAAACGATTAGATAGAAGAACAGGAAGAGTTTCTACTCACCCACTTCCAGAAATGAGTAGGAAGAAACTGGTGGCACTACTAAAATAATTAGTTTTGGAGATTAAACTTACTAAAACCAAAAACAAATGTTTTTCCTCAAAAGTGAGGTAGAATTTGCTATCTGCCAGCATCACTGCTTCACAGAAATCATAAAGAAGAATACTGTGAGATACAGAGATGTAGTTTTATTTGACAAGTCTTAAACTATGAAGTCTCAAAGATTCTTTTCACCCTCCTAAAAGTCAATGCAGAATGGCTCCCTAGTAAACAGCAATTTGAGAAAACAGCATGGTTGGGAAATCTCTAAGGAGATTTTCTAAGACTGCATAGACAGAGCTAGATAAAAATAGCTCTTCAGCAGTCACCCCTACAATAATAACCACTTGGTTAAATAATCAAAAGAGCTTCACATTTTTACTAAAAAAAAAAAGGCACTATCCATTTGTTGTGGATGGATTCCTGGACTCTATGAAGTTGGTACTGAAAGCGGAAAATTCAATGCAATGGTGTCAGTCCTGTTTCAAGCCTTGGACAACTGATTATTTCACCAAGTCTCAGTTTCCAAATGGAATCTTGTTTCAGAAGAAAGAAACTTAAGAAGATATTGTCCAAACAGCCCAGATCCTAACACATCCCCATTCCAGCAAACCCAAGAACTACAGGCACAGATAGAAGCTTCTTTTACTCCTATCTAATACAAAGGACACACAGAAACATCACTTTTAGTAGGGGTGTGTGAAGCAGGCTGTATTTGATTTAGATTCAGATTCAGCTTGATTTGGGGGTCAGTGATTCAGTTTGTTGATTTGGATCATTGTCCCAATTCAATTTGGGCAAATCCAAATCTGAAGATTCAATTCTGATTTGGAGAATCAGCAATTCAGCCATAGATACAGGTTTATGTTTTTTCTACATACCTTGAGGTACCAGGCATGGCTTATGAACACTGTGACAGTGGAGCAGATGGAGCATCCCACAGGGGGCTCCCTGCATGCTCAGCAGCAGACCAGGAAGTGGACCAGAAGTACTTCTGGTCCACCTCTGGGTCCAACGCCAAGTACATGGGCCCCTCCCGTACCCCCCCATTTGGTGATCAGCCATGGGGGACCCTGGGTGCTCCCCCAGACCCAGGAGGCACCAGTTGCCAACCTGCAGGGTGTGGGGGGGTCCCCTGCATGCTCCGCGGAAGACCCAGAAATGGACTGGAAGTGCTTCTGGTCCACTTCCAAGTCTGCTGCTGAGCATGCTGGGACCCCCCCAACCCCCCATGTTCCCGTGAGACACTCCATCTGCCCCACCATCTCAGCGCTCATGAGCTGCCTGGTACCTTGAGATAAGTAGAAAAAACATATAAAGCTGTGCCTTTGTCCGAAGCGTCGAATCTCTCTGCATCAAATCGGAAGCTTCGATTCAAATTGGAGAGATTAATAGGTCTTCTGATTTGATTAAGATTCAGAGATTTGGCTGCCGAATCGAATCAGCAACCGAAGCTTCACACAGCCCTAATTTTTAGTCCACAGCTATGTCTTGCATCTGCAATACAAGATGGAAGCAAGCTAATTCCAGAGAGCTTAGGGGTTGGTTCTGTCTGCCTGGGAAAAAAAAGCTTTCCTCCATCAGGAGAGTCCTGAAGAATGTATCAGAAGGCAAGGTAACCTGCTTCTCAGACAAGTGTCAACCTATGCTAAAGAAAATGACAGGGGAAACAAAATATGTTCAGGCCTTTCTTTTCCATCTTCCGAGCTAGAAAAAAGATTATGAGAAAGTCTAGCCCATCTCAGGCCTGAGGACACTGCTTTGGATAGTGCAGGTTCTCCAGGCAACCTACTAATATTGGTAGAGCTGACTAACGATTATTTGCACAGTGCATTCAACCCCTATTGCCCCCAACCTCTTTAGTTCATCACTGGAAATCACCACTATCAGCACAAAATATACCTTTCCAAACCACAAATCTTGACATCCATTCTATCACATACATGACCTTTGGTAGGAAGGCAATCCAAGCACTGACCATAAGATAGATAATTATTGATTTTAGGAATGAAGAAACATGTGGTCTTCTGTCTTATCTCACCTAATCCACCAGTCTTCTTTCTCCTTCTTTCTACCTCTTTCTTCCACCCAATACGGCTTGGGCTGTGACCCAAAATGAACAGCATACTCGATTTATTTTCAGGGACTTTCCTTTCCCCTAGTTTACCCCTCCTGAAAAAAGTTTTTTGTGTATTTTTGCAAAAGGCTTGTTCACAGGCCTTGTATAAGAATAACACTAGTGTTGGCTAGACAGTTCTGAAGAAAAGAGGGGTTTGGTTGAAAAAATGCCTATGCCTGGAAATAATTTAAAGCAGAAAAAAATAGCCTGAAAGCTTCATGAAAAGTATTCTCTCTGTCTCTCATTAGTTTGTTAGCAAAACTTTGATTGAAACATCTAAAAGAATAAAATGGTTATGAAAATCTTTTGCAAACCAAGAAAAAATTCATTTTAATAATGATTTTTTATTAAAAAACATTTAAATCTGGGAGGACAATCACAATTGGAAGTATAAAACCAAAACACATTAGCCTACAGTTCATTCATCTTTATGAAGTACAAGCCTAGAGTGGACATTAAAGGAAAAGAGTGTGTGTGTGTGTGTGTGTGTGTGTGTGTGTGTGTGTGTG